TATATATATGCTGGTTAGCATTGTAAATGAGTGGCCACGTCTGTGGTAGAAAATAATAATAATACAAAAATGAAGATGCTTCTTCTGAATGACTCTTGCTATCGCGATAGGCTCAGGCTTAATTATAGGCTTAAACAAAATATAAATTGTTCCAGTGACTCGTTTTTGTCAAAAATATATATATTTAAACTTTAGCCACACCCTACTTCACATAAAAAATATACAAACATACATACATACTCGACCTTCATACCGACGCCCATTTTTCTAGTAGGGCCAATCGACTTCTTTTTTTTTTTTTTTTTTTTTTTTTTTTTTTGAGATATATACAAGAGTTGTTACATTCTTGTACAGCCACTAGTACGCGTAGCGTTTCGGGCAGGTCCCTGGAATACGATCCCCTGCCGCGAAGAATCGTTTTTTCATCCAAGTACACATTTTACTGTTGCGTTAAACAGAGGCTACAGTTAAGGAATTGCGCCCAGTAAATCCTCCCCGGCCAGGATACGAACCCATGACATAGCGCTCGCGGAACGCCAGGCGAGTGTCTTACCACTACACCACGGAGACTATCTTGGCGTAATGAGTTTGTTGCACGGTTGAGGGTAGGAAGGATTGCACGGTTGAGAGTAGGAAGGATTGCACGGTTGAGAGTAGGAAGGATTGCACGGTTGAGAGTAGGAAGGATTGCACGGTTGAGAGTAGGAAGGATTGCACGGTTGAGAGTAGAAAGTAGCTTTGCAGCCCACACCACATGTACAGAGGGTTTTCAAAAAACAGCTCTCGATTAAAAAAGGATTAAGCTATGAACACAGCTTAAGGAAACACTAACAACTCCAGAGGAATGAAGAAACAAGGTGGAAAGGGGCAGCCTCTATATATTGAGAGAAAAAATGGGCATCTTGAGCCACACCAGCTCCTTCCAGATTAGATAAGGCAGTCTGGCAATGACCATTCCTACTTGTATATCTCACATGGTATATAGACAAACGCCTACGCTTTGACTTTCCATGATAGGCTATCATTTCTACCCAGCTTACTCTTAACACCTCTTACTATACGAATTTATAAAACATCTTAAAACATGTAGTAGACCTTTGGAAGCAGCCATTCAATAATTCAAGTTCAAGTATGTTTATGGAGACAAGAAAGAAATACATCTCAAAGGGATAGAGTAGCTTAGGCTATTTCTACCCTTAACTCTATTTGTACAAAAACTGACCGCGTTTGCGACCATGCTTATTCTGTCTGGGGTCGTCACCATAGAAAGTTTTGCCATGTTTTTTTAAGTTTAATTAAAAAAACTGAATTCTCAAATTTATTATAATTTAACTTTACATTATAGTTATGGGTACAGTTAGGCCTTGGGTAAATTTGATTTAATGTTTCGGCTCTATTGGCAAATATCTGTATTTAAACCTCGTGGGTGAAGTCTGATTCACCATTGCATACATAGGTGAGAAAAGTAGTTATATAAAAGCAATATTGGTAAAATAGGCTTATATATATAAGGATAACACATTTGGGAAACGAAATCTTCTCTAAATAAACTAAAATTTGTAGTTTATTTTTTTATTTTTCTCACTACCATATGTGGTCAGACGATTGAGATGACCACATATGGTAGTGAGATGTCAGCTCCAGGACAGACCAACTATCCCCAAGATGGCTTCTAATAGAAAACAAGAGCAACCATATTTAGAAAGATAATAAACTGCAAGGCAGTATGCGTGTTTGAGGCTTTGTGAGCATCCTTTACTCTCTAATTATATAATGACGTCAAAATCCCAAACGGACGAAATATGATGCACTATAAATGGTAGCGGCTCACAAACATTCAAGTTTTCTATGCGTAGGTACTACTAAGGTTTGGTGAGGTTCGGTCGATATTTTGTATATAATTTTCTGTCCGTTGTGACAGCTGGAAAGGACGGGCTGTTGCGAGATTGTACCAATTAACCACTAAAATCAGCAATAACATAACCCATTGTACATTCTTTTATATTAAATAAGAAATAAATGTTAGATAAGAAAAATTATTTATTTAGACTAAAGACATTGACTTAAAATGCAACTGCGAATTCTTTAGCCGATTTGTGTGTGTGATTTGAGGGCGTGTAGCAGTTTGCCGTCCACGAAGAATGGCGCTGCAGAAACTAGTCTGGTGAAGGTGATAACAAGCCTGAACATGACCCACAGACCGTGCCAGTTCACCCCGGGGGCACGAGTGTCAACAGAGACCTGGGGAAATGGCTAACCTAGCTAACTAAAACTTATAATACCCGCCACTCTAAAAGGTCGCCATCGGAGCGCAGCCGGTATTCCCTCCCACCAACAACGCTAAGTACAACTCGCCAAGTGAAAATAAAAATACATGAAACATCAAATCCTTAAAATGACAAACACTAACCGCGAACAGGCTTGGCCTTCTCTACTTTCAAAAACCATTAGCCTCCAGTCCGCAATTCTCGTGTGTGTGTATATATATGCCCGAGGCGTTGGCATGAAAGCTAGAGTACAGGGTACTAGAGAATGTTGAGTGCCACCCAACGAGCCAGACTGTACCCTGATCCAGCAGGCAGGCCGCTCGCCATTCACGACCTACACCATTCATTATGAATGTACACAACGCTACACCTGTGACATCCACAACCGCTCGCTACTTTATCGGCTTCCCAGAACGTCACCAGACTACACTAAGTCACTGTAGCATCTTACCCAAGTTTACCTAACGAATTTCATACATCATATTAATATTAATGTTACTACGGCTTCAATAATTTTGTATGACGAAATATTTAAAAATACCTCTGTGCAACCTGCCAAGTACATTAATAACTGTATTCGCTAATAAAAATATAGCAGACAATTTTTTTTACAGATTTCTAAAATATAATTTACCCTTACAAGTTTCTATAAATTTTACTTAGTGCGAAATGTACCTTTGAATTTAAATATTCAACTCGAAAAGTCATATATTTTTTAAATACAATCAGACATTTCTACCCAATTCTCTCGATTGGAGTTGGCATTAATCCTCGTCACGTTCGGTAAACTTGGCCCTCAACACGAGTACGAGGGAGGGTAAACAAAGAGCAGCACCCGCATCCAGCCAGTTCTTCCAGGTCTGTAGTTGCCTTCCCAAGCAGTGCAGCGCGGAGCATCAAGGACACCACACCCACCCACCCAAGGACGCCGTCGTCACCCCTCACATGCCCTCTGGTCCCAATGGTTCCACACGCTGGAGGCTTGCTCAACACCACTAGGGAGATTATCGAGTAACTGGTGACCCTGGGTTACTACCTGCAGCACTAGGGGTGGATCATGCTTCACCTACTGCCTGTAGTCCTAGGGGTGGATCATGCTTCACCTACTGCCTGCAGCCCTAGGGGGTGGATCATGCTTCACCTACTGCCTGTAGCCCTAGGGGTGGATCATGCTTCACCTACTGCCTGCAGCCCTAGGGGGTGGATCATGCTTCACCTACTGCCTGCAGCCCTGGGGTGGATCATGCTTCACCTACTGCCTGCAGCCCTAGGGGGTGGATCATGCTTCACCACCTACCTGCAGCCCTAGGGGGTGGATCATGCTTCACCTACTGCCTGCAGCCCTAGGGGTGGATCATGCTTCACCTACTGCCTGTAGCCCTAGGGGTGGATCATGCTTCACCTACTGCCTGTAGTCCTAGGGGTGGATCATGCTTCACCTACTGCCTGCAGCCCTAGGGGGTGGATCATGCTTCACCTACTGCCTGTAGCCCTAGGGGTGGATCATGCTTCACCTACTGCCTGCAGCCCTAGGGGGTGGATCATGCTTCACCTACTGCCTGCAGCCCTGGGGTGGATCATGCTTCACCTACTGCCTGCAGCCCTAGGGGGTGGATCATGCTTCACTACCTACCTGCAGCCCTAGGGGGTGGATCATGCTTCACCTACTGCCTGCAGCCCTAGGGGTGGATCATGCTTCACCTACTGCCTGTAGCCCTAGGGGTGGATCATGCTTCACCTACTGCCTGCACACCTAGGGTGAATCATGCTTCACCTACTGCCTGCAGCCCTAGGGTGAATCATGCTTCACCTGCTGCCTGTACCCCTAGGGTGGATCATGCTTCACCTACTGCCTGCAGCCCTAGGGGTGGATCATGCTTCACCTACTGCCTGCAGCCCTAGGTGTGGATCATGCTTCACCTACTGCCTGTAGCCCTAGGGGTGGATCATGCTTCACCTCCTACCTGCAGCCCTGGGGTGAACCATGCTTCACTTACTGCCTACAGCCCTAGGGTGAATTATGCTTCACCTACTGCCTGCAGCCCAAGGGGTGGATCATGCTTCACATACTGCCTGTAGCCCTAGGGTGAATCATGTTTCACCTACTGCCTGTAGTCCTAGGGGGTGGATCATGCTTCACCTACTGCCTGCAGCCCTAGGGGGTGGATCATACTTTACCTACTGCATGCAGCCCTAGGGGGTGGATCATACTTTACCTACTGCATGCAGCCCTAGGGGGTGGATCATACTTCACCTACTGCATGCAGCCCTAGGGCGAATCATGTTTCACCTACTGCCTGCAGCCCTAGGGGTGGATCATGCTTCACCTACTGCCTGCAGCCCTAGGGGGTGGATCATACTTCACCTACTGCATGCAGCCCTAGGGCGAATCATGCTTCACCTACTGCCTGCAGCCCTAGGGGGTGGATCATACTTCACCTACTGCATGCAGCCCTAGGGCGAATCATGCTTCACCTACTGCCTGCAGCCCTTGGGGGTGGATCATGCTTCACCTCCTACCTGCAGCCCTGGGGGGTGGATCATGCTTCACCTAGGCGTTGAAATCTCCGTACTCTGGATTTTTTTACAAGCTCTTTTTTAAGATCCACTTACTCATGTTTACATGGCTTCTCTCCCGTACACTTCATATGTGACTAAGACACTAACGTGCAGAGAATGAGAACACAGATTTAACCCACTATGTGAACAGAATCTTAACAAATCCAAACTCACCTTCGTTTCCTCGTACAGTCCAGCAAGGCAGCAGACATACTCCAAGAACTATCCACCTTAAGCATCCCGTTAGGAGTATTTTCCTCATGGCCACACGGCCCCAAGACAAAGCAAAGCAATAGTTTCAAGAGGGCGAGAGGCACGTACACCACCGTCACGAGTCAGGGCAACACTGGCGAGGCTCGGTTAAACTCCCGTCTGAACACTGCCACAGCTGACTCAAGCTCCGCCCACACAGGTGCGCTTCGCCCTTTCTATTTCAGGCATCCTCATGTCCTGCTCTAACTACCGGCGAATTTTACCTCCCTTTCTGCTGTGAAATGGAAACTAACCATCCTCCACATAATCCTCTCACTTTTTGCCTTGTACGGAGAATACGTTTCTTGATATTTTGCCTTATTAACGGATACCTGTTGCCTGAAGAAGCCTATTCAAAATAGTTTTCCTAGTTTCAGCCCAATTGGATTCCCGTCAACTCCAAAAGTGGGAAAATTCCAGTGTTGGTAACGACACAGTTTTCCTGGCAGCACTTAAATGACGCATGCGAGAGGGAATTGTGTGTTTCTACCACCCAATTACCGCCGAGCATAAAGAAATGATTCAAAGTAACCCACGTAACAAAGGCGAATGAATGATTCACTTTTATTTTTAATAAACATTAAAAATACAACTAAAATAAATACGTAAAATACATGATAGCATTTCCGCACGCAGTATTAGGCTCCGGTGATGGAATGAACACAACAATTGCGGATAAAATTATATTTACATAAGCCGAAAAAAATGAGCAGCGTATATATGTACTTGAAGGGTGTACTTGTCACAGCGATATACATCGAGAGGTGTTTACAAGTGTATCGGTCTATATACACTGAGAATTTACTTTTGTCCTGGATTAAATATACTAAATACCCTTTTGAGGTCGGTAGGAGCATAGGCTCAATACTAAACCCAATGAGCAGTGAAACTTCTTTTAGATGATTATATATATATATATATATATATATATATATATATATATATATATATATATATATATATATATATATATATATATATATATATATATATATATATATATATATATATATATATATATATATATATATATATATATGCTTTGAATTTTTTGGAAGTTTGTCGTATATATATATATATATATATATATATATATATATATATATATATATATATATATATATATATATATATATATATATATATATATATATATATATATATATATATATATAATATATTTTATTTATATATATAATAATAATATATTATATTATATATATATAATAATATTATATATAATATATATAATATATATATAATATATATATATATACATATATATATATATATATATATATATATATACACACACACACACACACGAGTCTTCCTTTCGTCCAATTATCACAAAATTAGTTTTTTCTTGTATTTGGTGGTGGCGGAGGCGGGTATATTTGAGGGAATTCCCCGCTCCAAGCTGGGATGTTCGCCAAGGTAACTTCCTGCGATCAGTTTTACCTCAACTTTTTATAACTTCCCAGCAGAGGGGCAGGAACATAGAGTATTGTGAGCGTGCCTGAAATAGCACTGCTGCCCCAGAAGTTGTGATATAGACTTGAAACTGGAGGGACTTACCGCGTGTGGGAAATAATGGCGTGTGGCAACTGAGGAGTGACGTCACGCGGGAAGCTGCGTGATCAGCTGGACCACGAAGCAACAAGCACTTACGTCTCCACTTACGAGCTTTGGTGATCTTATCTTAGTCAGTTTGCATTTAATATATAATTTGTGAGCTCCGAGGCGCTACGAGAGTATCCACAGCAATAATAACTTAAGATTAAACATAAGGATAAATAAATCTGGGGATTAATAAAATCATTATCATTATTAAAATCATTAATAAAATCAGAGCTTTAATATAACAATGTGCTTTAATATACTTACTTATCTCTCTCATCTCATTTTTCTCTTGTAATGTATCTTTCATTTATCAATTCTGATTGAACTTACCTACTTAAAATTATCTGTTAGATTAAGGACCTGCCCGAAACGCTGCGCGTACTAGTGGCTTTACAAGAATGTATTTACTGTCTCATCCAATGTATTCTCACAAACCCAATGTACCTTCTTGTATATATATAAATAAAATAAATAAAAATAAATAAATTAAGGTCTGTTGGCCCATACGAGGCAGCGCCTACTGACGACGATCTCGTAATTCATCGGAGCTCGTAAACTGTTTAGTAAATACAGAGTAAAGCTGCCATTGATGGATCTAAGAGAAAGATATGTTGTATGTGTAGTGACAAGTGTACCTAAAGCACCCACACACACCTGCGAGCTGGCTGGCTCTAAGGCTCGTACAGAAGCCACATGTGACAGGTGTTTACAGCGTTGTTTAACTGCTTGTTCCATATACACCGAGACGTGCGCCTCGTATATTGTGAGAGTTGACTTTAGTCCTAAACTATGTTCAGGGCTCAAGTTCAAATCAAATTCAAAATCAAATAAGTTTGTGGAGGTATATATACGTACACAAAGGGATGAGGTAGCTCAAGGTATTCTCCTTGTTGCTTAAGAATCGCTACCTGGAACAAAGAGCTCCAAGTAGCACAGGCTATGGTGAGCCCGCAGTGGCCTTACTTGTATCCCCTTGTTTGTTGGTCAGCAAGGTAGTTTGACGGCTTTGATAACCCTAGTGCCTCGTTAGGCCGTAAGTCCAACACTAAACCAAATAAACATGTGTTGCTACATATGACAACCTTCCTCGGGGCCTGAACGTTACACAACTGACAGCTGTTTTCATTTTGAAGGAAAATATGAAATATATATGAGGTGATTTTAGGAGGAACTGGACCCCACACACCTGTTCTTCTTACTGCAATTATCTCACACATGTGACACCCACCAAGGGTGTGTGATAGTGATGAGGAGACTAGTTCGAATGCTATTAAAGTTGTCAGGTAATTAAGAGCCAACATCGTCAACTTGGCATCCAAGACTGTCATATATATATATATATATATATATATATATATATATATATATATATATATATATATATATATATATATATATGTCGTACCAAATAGCCAGAACGCACTTCTCAGCCTACTATGCAGGGCTCAATTTGCCTAATAAGCCAAGTTTTCATGAATTAATTGTTTTTCGACAACCTAACCTACCTAACCTAACCTAACCTAACTTTTTCGGCTACCTAACCTAACCTAACCTATAAAGATAGGTTAGGTTAGGTTAGGTTAGGTAGGGTTGGTTAGGTTCGGTCATATATCTACGTTAATTTTAACTCCAATAAAAAAAATTTACCTCATACATAATGAAATGGGTAGCTTTATCATTTCATAAGAAAAAAATTAGGGAAAATATATTAATTCATGAAAACTTGGCTTATTAGGCAAATCGGGCCTTGCATAGTAGGCTGAGAAGTGCGTTCTGGCTACTAGGTACGACATATATATATATATATATATATATATATATATATATATATATATATATATATATATATATATATATATATATATATATATGCGTGTGTGTGTGTGTGTGTGTGTGTGTGTGTGTGTGTGTGTGTGTGTGTGTGTGTGTGTGTGTGTGTGTGTGTGTGTGTGTGTGTGTGTGTGTGTGTGTGTGTGTGTGTGTGTGTGTGTGTGTGTGTGTGTGTGTGTGTGTGTGTGTGTGCGAGAGAGAGAGAGTGGCCCCAGGGTTGCCAGATCTAAATTGCTCAAAGTAGCGAGCTGACGGTCTAAAAGTAGCGAATTTGTAATATGAGTAGCCCAATTTTTTTAGTGAATGATATGGGTTTCAAAGTAATATATTTTGATACATAGAGTACACTACACGATGTTAATTGTTTTATTAATATTATTTTTGCACATACACACACACATATTATATATATATATATATATATATATATATATATATATATATATATATATATATATATATATATATATATATATATATATATATATATATATAAACCAGTGAGTGGTGGTTTATTGTGCACCCCGAACCCGGACCAGTTGTGTAACTGCAAGCCTAGCATGAACGAACCGACAATAAACATACTTGAACTTGAAATGGTCTTTAATATTTTTTTGGCAGCTTTATTTCCTTAGTTTCCGAGCTGTTTTCTTTACCGTGTATGTTGTAATAAACTATTCCTACATTTACAGTTGTTTCTCCCTGTGAAGATTATTAAACAATGGTGATTATAAGGGCACGGAAGTTGAGCCTGGCCAGGGCCGCCAGCAGCCCTTGGGCCCGCCCCGGCAGCTCCCAGTCTTTAATTTGGCACCTTTGTGGCACCTTTGTATAAGCCCAACATGTATATACACACACTGGCTACCTGTCCCCCCTACACAATGATATATTATTACCTATTATTTTATCATTTAATTTAAATATTAAATAAAATATTTTATTTAATTATTATAGTAAGTACTTAATAATTTAATAATAAGTAGTAAGTACATAAAAATGATTAAAAAGTACAGTTTAGTCATAGGAGATTCCTAGATTGGAATTCACTACCAAATTTCAATATATCCAAGTATTTTTAATGTGAAATGCTGTTATTATATGCATAAATTGTTGTTTTAATAATATTACGCTTAACCACTTGGGCTGGACGGTAGAGCGACGGTCTCGTTTCCTACAGGTCCGCGTTCAATCCCCGACCGCCCAAAAGGTTGGGTAAAATTCCTTTCCCCCGTTCCATCCCAAATCCGTATCCTGATCCCTTCCGAGTGCTATATAGTCGTAATGGATTGGCGCTTTCCCTTGATAGTTCCCCCACCCCCTGAATAATATTACAAGAGCAGTATTTACGGGCTATTCATGCCCGTGCCACCTCTTGGGTGGCTTAATCTTCATCAATCGAGAGCAGTACGTCCTAACCAGACGTTATATGATAATATCCTGAACAGTTGATAAATAAAAGTAATTACGGAACTCCAGTTATTTAATACTTATCATAAATGGTATAAAACCTTATCATAAGCCAAGGGATTTGTAGATCAGTGTTTAAAGGGAATTCGGAAGTAATAATAACACAGCTTATGCCATCTGTCGGCACAAGAGAACACTATCAACTGGCTGGTCAACAGTGGCCATAAGATACAGCTTACGCCATCTGTTGACATCAAATTACACTTATAACAATTATCCTACAAAATACAACTAACGCCATCTCTATTTTTTCCAACGCACTATAAATAGCCAAACAGCAACCCATAAGGCGGGTTGTTATGCTCGGGTAG